GAGTCCAGGTCACTGTGATACTAGTGGGACCATCCTGGACTGCTGTCACATCAGTGGGAGGTGGGGGACCTGAAAGTAAACCACTCAAGATATATACTACCAGTGGGAAGTAGGAACCCTGAAACTGTATCCATAGGAACTTTCAATTTGTAGTATTGAGGAAATCATGCTGTTGACCTGCCGACCTTTGGCTGTAGTGACACTTTTAGCAACTATTAATATTGAGCGGATTACTTTATTGCCCAAACTTTAAGTGGTTCACAAGCACTTGGAGAGTATATACCCGTAGCTCTGTCAACACTGAGAGTTAAACGTGCATCTATGTCCTCATTTCACATAATTGGCGAGCAAAGCGAGCCTGTCTGAATGCAGGGGCACATACCGTAACGCACGCAAAATATTAGAACAGCTTGCTTCACTTGCCAAAAATGTGTTGCATTCCTCTAGTGTTCGTTGGTGTTTTAGCCTGCATGCCAAAACAGTGATTTGCGGACATTTTACCTGCTACAAGTGGTGCTAGCTGAATCAGAAGATGGCTTGTTATTAGCCACAGTACAGTGTACTCTCCTGCAGTAGTCACAGTCAGAGTGTGGGTGTACTGTGCAGTCACTGGGTCATTCAACACAGTCTCATTTTGCTCTCCAGTGATATTGACATTGTCTCTGGTCCAAGTGACAGTGGTAGCAGGTCCACCAGTGGAGATACAGGTGAGGGTCAGCTGGCTAGGGTCAAATGTCAAACCTCCAGATATTGAGATAGTTCCTGAAAATAAAGAACCAAACCCTAAGGGTCCTAATTGCTAATCAGCAAAACATAGTAACGTTAAGTGAGTGCATGAGTTAGGCAGGAAGAGGAGAATCATAGATGTATTCATGCCTTTTAGCTATCCGATGAATAACAAGAAAGGAAGTAGGTACTAATTAAATTTACCTCCACTGGCAGTATACAGTCCCACATAGACTGTGTCTCTCACTGAAATGTCAGTATCATCATGGACAGCAAGAGTTGGAATATCACAGCGATAGATACCAGTTGGTGAGTTAGGAGTGTCAGGTCGGTGACGTAAGAAGGCATTCCGATCTCCACGAGACTTACGAATGTTCCAAGTGAAATCAAGTAGAGTACCATTAGGGAAATACCAGTCTCCACGATGAGAACCCTGAACACCAGTACAACATGTGCTCAGGTCAGTGATACATTGAACACCGTCACTACCACTGAGATCATCCCCCACTTGACTGATGTTGACATAGGAATTGTTGGCCAGAGTCTGGCTCATGAAGGAGACATAAGGAAAGCTCTGAGAGTGGACCTCCACCAGAGACCAGAGGAGACTCAACAGAGACACAATTCTCATCATTGATCTGTTGCACATCACTCACACCACCGACTGAGCAACTGAGTTACACGGCTGATGGATAGCAGAGATAAAATACTATTGGACAAAATGGAAAACAGACA